TAGAAATAAATCTAAATCAATGTGCACCTATAGACTATGGAATACTTTCTAGTTTCTAATAATCCCATTGAATTGTTGTGTTTTATGATAGCATTTTACGAGTCTTTTTCATGGTTACACGCAGAGTTGGGCAGTTATTGAATCCTAAAATACAGTTAATACCAGTTAATATCTCGCCTTACAGAGTAAACAGACTAATTCTTATTCACAGAAATTGAATATAAAGTGCTAAGTACTTTTTTATGTTCCTAATAAAAAGGCGCATTCTCTGATCTTAGGATACTAGGTTAGTTGATTTGTGATAATAGTCCAGTCGTTGGCGTTCTACAATCCCATTCACTATAATGCTCTTAAACTAAAAAGAAATCAAAGAAACAAAGGAACTAGTTATTTATGAATTCGTACCTGCTTAATCAACATTATCTTTAGAAATTGTATACCTTTACGTAAAATAATGAGTGCTTATAAATCAGATTGGCTTTAGATAAATTCCTTTTGGAGTAAAAAGTTCGTTTTACCTTGTTTTAAGAAAGTAGATCTTTCACGCCGTACTGAACTGGAACTGAGGCAAATCAGCAAAAAAACAAAGAACCATGCATCGCAGCTGTATGACATATTTTTAGATTTTATCTTCATTTTTCTATCGCATGAACAGAAAAAGAGATCTAAAACTTCATCAAAAGTAAAAAAATTTTTTTTATTGATTTTGAAGGTATCACTTTTTTCAAAAGGATATATGATATAACCAGTTCCAGACCTCGAAATTTGGTCTGTCTGTTCAACATCATTTTTAGACTGGATGTTCTCGTATGGATACTAATGTTGTGTATCAACTGTATTTGGCCTTGTCGAGTGTTTTGGTTTTCATTTTTAATGTATTAGTCAACGTGCTTTGTAATAGTCTTCAATATGAATGAAAAGTCACATGGTCTCGTGATCTTAGATTGTGATAATGACTCCAAAAGGGTGGGGCAAGGTGTATTAGGCAAAGGAGGAATTTTTATGTGTACCTTAGATCTTAGTTTGTACTGTTAAAGGTTAGCATTCCTTTTGGCTGGTAAAACTCAGGAAACCCAGGAAACGCATGTGCCTGACCAGCACACATTTGCTATTGTATCACATTATTTGTGTTTATTTGCTCCTCTATAATGCTGAAAGGCGATCGAGGTGTTCTTGTGTAAAATATTTTACTGATATAAATAAATAAAGTAATGAATAAAAAAAAAACTCTTTTAGTTTTTTCCGTTTGGTACTTGTCCAAACATATTTGGTGACAAAGTTTAGACTGGAAATAATGGATTGGATAACATCAACATCACTTCTTCCATTGTTGTGGTCTCCGTTTTTTGTGACGGCGGTTTGGGAGTGGCGATTTGTGGTTGGCGTCCGGCGTATGTAACAATTCATAAAAAACTTCCAATAACTTAACAAATACTGTTTAAACTGACTTTAATTTTTTTCAAAAGCATCTACAAGTTCTCGGAAGTGAAATTCTGACTTTAGATTTGAGACTTGACCTTCAATGACCTTCTCAACGTCAAAAAGTGTTTTTTCCAACTTGCTTCAAATTATCCAATAAATTCTAATCTGATTGAAGACTTGACCTTCACTGACCTTCTTAAAAAGGTCAAAAAGGTAGTTTTTCAACTTAACCAATATTTTTTTTTCAAAATCATTGACAAGGTCTCAGAATTTCAGATCTGACTAAGACTGAACTCATAATACTATGAGCAACTAGGTGGTGACATTTTTCCATGTCAATGCCTTGATAGTAGTTTTAATTGTAGTTTATTGTTGGATATGATGGCCTTAGATCACTTCACGTCATTCAATAGTGGTTCTTTGTTCAAAAGTCAGTGTTAAATGTAACGTTTTTCGAAAATATAAAGAGTGGAGTTCTCACATTTCAAGAAGCGATCAGAATCGAAAGCTTTAAATATAGAGAATGATAGACAACGAGGATGAAAATTATCAAAATTAATCAAATGCTGACGGAAACTATGGTGTCAATGCATAGGCATTTCTCTTGTATAATTTTAGTATTATTGTATCATTTGATGGATATTGAACATATGATAAAAGTGTCACCAATACAAATCTCTACCTGGCTTTATCTATGCTATTTGCGTTATACACTTCAATAGCCTTTCATTCATTTGCAAGTACAATCGAATATGAACTTTCAATAAATAATGAAAATAAATTGCTTGTAACTGGGAATATTAAAAACCAATCATTCATTTGATATCAGAATCTAAATAAACACATCTAGTAAACATAACACATTACCGGTTAATTACATTTGCTGTAAATATCACGTACATTTCATTAATGTATTTTTAATATGAAGACAGGCTACATTAAAAGTATATCACAGTTTCACAGATGATGATGTTCGCTTGATTAATGAGGATGGAAATAATCTCAATACAATTGTATTACGAGATCAAACGCTTAATATGACGACAATCTGATTTCGATTTCTTTCTCTGAGTCCTTCACCCCTCCTGACCACATACTGATTAAGATAAAACATAATCCCATTATTCAGGCATTTTAAATAATATTCATTTTCTGAGTGAACGGGTCTTAGTCCAAAGGCCGAGTAAGTCAATCCTATACTTGAGTAATGAAGAATTTTAAATACACCTTATGCAGACGGTGCCTCCACAGAACAATCGGTGCGGTTATCACAGCACGGGTGTCATTTTTGAATTTGAACTCGACGAATAAATTCGAAAGCTTTTGTGCTTTTGGTAGAAAGGAACAAAAAACAATTGCACTAAAAATCAAGTTACCATTACATAAAGGGTCGTGATTTTTACAAAATGTTTTCAATAATTGGGTTGTGATCGAGAAAAACAATGTTGAATTCATTTCCTCATATCGATACCAGCAATCCTACAATCATATCTAATTTGGAAGTAGAGTGAATATGTTGAACATGTGTTGGAGGATACAAAAAGTATGGGCATATTAAAACGTATTCTCTTTTGATGAGGATGAAATATCAAACATCCCTTTCGAGAGCTGGTCGGAAACATATTTTATTAACCATTTGGAAAGAATTGACGGACTTGATGCATAATTTGTTATGTTGTCTGAGTTTCCAAAGTAAACTTAGACAAAAATCACCATTAAACCTGAATAATAAGCAATATTTTATTATCGCATGGTCATGGTAAACAGTAGTGTTGACATCAAGATAGCACACATTTAATGCCGTTGATATCAACACTCATGGCGCAGGGGTTTGTAAAAAAGCAGAATTCGTGGAATTTAAAAATATCAATTATTGTAAATTTGCCCACATATAAATGAACACCAAACATTGGTTGGTTTAGGCTATAAAATAGAGAGTTTAAGCTAACATATAGAATCAAAACGCCAACCTATACGTATGACCAAGCGCCCATACACCAGCGTTCTAGAAAGGAAACTGAGAGAAGGCTGTGATATCTCACGATGCCCATACACATGCATCGCTTAAATATGTTCCGTTCACGTTTAGGTAGTGAAAAACATTGCAAGCTTAAACTCCCTATTATCACGATTTAAACTTGAAATGACCGTTTAATCCGCACCGCGCGCGCATAAATCCGCACCGAGCGTTTTTGTGTAGGGTGATATCGCATGTTAAGTTTGCTGTTAATTTTTTCTTCTTTCCGATGGGAGGCCAGGGTCATTGAAAATTCCCAGTCTACTTCTAAAGTCGAGTTATTGAATAAAACTGAATATTTTTAATGCCATTTTTTCAAATCGTAGATCTCCAAATGATTGCGAATACTAACATGTATGTTTAACATTTGCATTCTAAATTCATTCTGAACATATGTTACAATCTTGCATTTGTTGGTTGCAAATTATGAGTTACAATAAGATTTATAAATGAAATTGAAAACGATTCATTCTATTAACTATAATTATTCAATCAATAGTGAAATGAATGTTCTGTTAACAAATGGCATATTGCAATGTCAGTTTATTTGTTTTAAAACAAAAACAATATTCGCTTGATAGTATGTAATTCAGAATGACACAATGTTTTTAAATATATTTACATATTTACAATCTTTTTCTTCTCGAGTGGTCGAAATATATTTCTTCACCTGGATCATCAATACAGAAAAACCTAACGCCAAGGCCTTTGTTTCTTTATCGTGGATTTTACAATAAGAATTTCAAAAATATAAAAATAAAATAGTGGAAAATAAGACCTTGGCCTATTAGGGAACAAGATGCAAATGTGCCAGACAAACCAGAGGTCCGACATGATAAAATGCGTCCCCTGTCAAATACTTTCATTGCAAATTGTTATTTACGCCTTGCCGTACGCGTTTCGTCCAGTCTAATTTCGGGTACCAACGAAAGCAGTTTCAAATGATCATTTAACATGGTACATTCAATTAATGGTATTAAAGAATGTCTGTGACATGATGCTCAATATATTACCAACCTTACCCTTCTGATCCTTGGCCACCAAGTGATATTTCATGTACTATTGAATACAAATGTGTCTGCGGAACAGCAGCTTTGAAAAATGAAATACGGCAGCTATTAAATCACTTGTCTTCATAAAAAGAGGACTGGGAGATCCTAATTGAGATCTCAGTTGCTTGGTGCAATTTATCTTTTGTGCAAGAATTGACTTGGAATGCAAGTGCAAGTTGTAGGAATATACCCATAACGATGATTACATATAAGAAAGTGCCATTTATAGCCGTTTCGTTGGAAAAACTTATGCGTGTTTTTAATCTACTTTTGTAAAAGTTGGGCGTTACGTCACCTGGATCATGCCTGGTCCTTTAAAGATATTAACGGGTTTCATTAAGACACACAGACGCATGCGTCCGTGATGGAAAACATTCACAATGTTGATTTCATATTACCGACAAATAAACGTCAAGTTTTTTTTACAATAACTTATCTCGAAGTATCACTTATTTACGGAAAAAGTAAAGTTGCTCATTTTTCTTGGCTCCGAGTGATGCACGGCGTATAGGCAACTTGTTCATTTACACAGTGAACGCTACCGTATATTGCACATCTTGTCTTAAATACAGACCGCACAGTTGGTATCTCCCACTCACTGGAGTTTTTTCTCTAACTCACTCTCCGGAATTTTTTACTCTTACATGGTTAGGCTTTTCGTCATGTGTAACGTCAAATCGATCAATTACATCTTGTTTCCTGAAGGATAAGCGTCTGATGTACAATGCGTTGCACCGTTTTGTGACGGATTCTGATTGTGACCAGTTCATCCGAACAATAAATGACTGCTCAAAGTGATGACAGTTAGACAACACCGTTATCATGGCAAATAACTAAGATCAATATAGTTGACACTTGACGGATGTGTTCACATTCGATGTTTGAAGTTGCTCAGTTGAATAACTAGCTCTTCATTTGTCTATTTAACTGTGGCATCAACTTTCTTGAAACTTTCTTGAAGATTGTAGTTCAATATTTGTGCTGTCAACATGTCTGTCTCCATGTTTCTGCCAGTCACAGTTATAACTGATGTTTGCTTATATGCCATTTATTCATGGTGATACGTATTGTCTCTCATCATACTACCTGTCTCGATTTTGATTCAAGCTCTCAAGTCTTTCTATTTATCGGCGACGGAAAAGACAGTCTGTGAGTGTAGTTGAGTTTGCCGTGTGGAAGCGCCGTTCATGCTTAGTTCCTCCGGTGCTACTCTCGCCCTACCCTGGCATCGTCTAACGAGGACCATGAACTCTCTCCTAAACCTTGGTCCAGAGATGCAATATAAAAGGAAGTTTAGTGCACTGTTCAGATAGAAAAGTATGTTGCAGATAGCAAATGCCAGTTCATTATTCATATATCCTTCCCATGTGTTAAGATCGAACCATACAGTGTAGTACTTTTTCAGTACGACTATTGGGCATGTGGTCACGAAAAAAACAAAATTAACTGTTAGGAGAATTGCTGTCATGGTGTTTAGTTTCGAGTCATTCGAAGAACTGTAGCTAACCATTTGGCCACGTTTGTACTTGATGAGCATCAGTTTCCCTATTATCATTAGGTTTGCTGATAGCATTATTACGAAAGGCGCATACGATGCGACAACTGCATCGATGATTTGATAAGTTTTTTTCCATTTGGCATTCGTGCTGTTCTTGTCACCGTTTGTAGCACACCAAGAGTAACCAGATCGTGTATTCAACTTAACTGTAACGAAGAAGTGTGCGTTCAGAGCGATGCAAACTAAAACTGTGACGCCAATAGCACCCAGGGTAACATTATGAGTGCAAAGAAGTTTCGACTTGTGGGGGATGAACACTGCGATGACCCTATCCACCGCAAGACATACGAGCAGCCATGCAGATATATGGATAGTCGTATAAAGTATGAACATGTGAAGCTTACAACCAGCATCCGTATAGTCTCGCACATCTGAAGGTTTCATCATCCAATAGCCGAAATGCTCACGATAAGGGGAGATACCATATTTTATCCATTCACGTACTAAACCTGTTAAGAGGACAATTGTGTCCACAAAGGCGAGTGCGATCAAGTACATGCTGGACGTTGAAGAACGCATCGTCCTTTGCAGTAATACTACTGCCGCCATTGCATTGCCCACAATCCCAACACTTAGGATGATAGGCGGAGCGGCCAAGTAGATATACACACTAGATACATAAGATGGAAAGTCCCATGGAGTGGACATGTTTTTCCTTCTGTCTGGCCTTAGAAATAATTTCAAGTCCACCAGCTACTTCAAATATGTGTTGTCCATTTAAGTTGTTTTGCTGACAAGAATGTTTCCAACTTCAGTATATAAAAGGATGTCATCAATTTATCATTATTCAGTCCATAATACTTATCCAAACTTCCATCTGAAGTTTACCATGTAAATCAGAATGTCCCAACTATGAAGCGTTCTAATCACATCAGGTACTGTTAAAACATCTTCGTCGTGATTGGCAACATTTTATATCACTTTAATAGGTAAATATTTCCAGTATGGTTACCATGGTAACTTGACAGTAAACGTCATCTTGAATTGTATTCCTTAGATCCGGATGAATGATTTCCTAGAGATAAGAACAACAATTGGTATTTACATTAGCATATCCTTTGAATCGTTGTTTTAATGTCGTGATTTTCTATTGATGCTATCTCAACATCGTCCCATCATTGATTCAAATACGCAACCTATTAATACGGAACAATGTTATGAATAAAAAATGTATAATTAGCTATAAGTAAAATATTATAAATTCTTATTTGTAAAAATATGATTTCAGTTATAAAAAAATCAGACTGTTTCGAAAAGTCAATATCAATAGGCTGTTATTCCACAAAGTGAAGTTGAAACATCATACATTACAAATATTAATTGTGTATCTATTCATGCAGAAAAGTTAATCTATAATTCATTCATTGTTTTAGCGTTTACTTATTTGAACAACAACTTGTTAACTCGATGTATTAACTCGATACTATATATCTGATTAAAGTATGCACGGCATAAAAACATTTTCATGCAATATAACATTATTAAAGATGAATTTAAATAGACTGCTTTTGTGCCAAAGGGCCGACAAAAATGGAAAAAAAGATATTCTCTCAGCACTCAGAAAACCTATTTTGCTTATTCTTAGTCCCAGAAGTTTATGAAATTCCTATTTATGACTTTGAAAGTTCATAAGTTTTAAAAGTAAATGTCATATTAGCTCTTTGATTTATGTTTCTTCTTGACTAACAGCATTTGTACATGTCGTATAACAGCAAATTTACATACTGTATCGTATTACAGTACTAGCTTAGAAAAAAATAAAATGATAAATTGAAAACTATAGAATCTTACGTACCACTTTCGTACCCGTCTCCGATCGTTACAGTCATTATACGAACTGAACAATAACAAAACAATGTTCAGCATTAATATACCTATATGTTGCCATGGAAACCAGTTAAGGATAAATATGAAAAGCCACAATAATCAATGTGTAATTATTAGAAAGCCTAACAATCATGTACACTGTACAACTATCCAATTGCACGGAAGAGTAAAGGTAAATCATATTTCCGTCCAGAAATAATTAGCTTTTAAGCAACATCTATTTTAATGGATTTTACTCATTTTAGAATGAAAAATGGATGAACGCATTGAAAAGACATTGTGTTGTAATAAGACATTGTGCCCTTGGCTGCGAGGCAAATATAATGTAAAGTTAGTTAAGAAAAAGTTCATACACGGAAATCGTCTTAACGAGCAATTCTTAAGAGCATGTAATACCATTGATTTGATTTATATAACTGATTATACTTATTTTTTATTTATTCATTCATTCATGCATTTCTTTAGTTGCACTATAACTTTTCTACAAACAGAAGCACTTGGCTGTATAGCACATCATGCTATAGATATACACACAAGGCATTAACATGACAAAATGCGTTAACATGTCAAAATGCATTGACATGACAAAATGCGTTAACATGACAAAATGCATTAAACCTGACAAAATGCGTTAACATGACAAAATGCATTAAACCTGACAAAATGTCATCACCTAGTTCTCAGATTTGAACTTCTGAGAACTTGCAGATGATTTTGAAAAAATGATCAATTTGAAGCAAGATGAAAAACAACCTTTTGACCTTGAGAAGGTCATTGAATGTCAAATATAAAAAATTTGAGCTTCTGGGAACTTTTAGATGATTTTGAAAAATTAGGTCAATTTGAAGCAAGTTGAAAAAAGACCTTTTGACTTTGAGAAGGTCATTGAAAGTCAAATCTCAAATCCAAAGTCAGATTTGTACTTAAGAGAACTTGTAATTTAAGATGATTTTGAAAAAAAACTGAAGTCAGTCTAAACAGTATTTGTTAAAGTTATTGGAAGTTGTAAGAATTTGTTACAGACGCCGACCACCGGACGCCAACCACCAATCGCAGCATACAGACATGCCTGTAAATACCGAGTAAGGTTTTTAGCACAAAACATTGATTTTATTCTCGGAATAAAAATTGAGAAGAGTGAATCCAATAGCTGTAATGACGAGATATGTCACCGATGGATTGAGAACAGCAAAATAGATACTGATTTGAACACACTTGATTTTTAGCTACATATTTGCTAATATTTCTGTAAATCAGAGTTTTGTGTATCCAAAAACGCTAGGATAAATTAATATTATTCTTGTATTTAAAATCAATTCTTTAAAAGTTTGACTAATTACTGCATAATACTTTAAAGTTGCACCATCATCCCGCAAGAGTGCCTCCCCAGGTTATTAACGGCATTTAGTCGTTGCGATTGCCTTCCCCTGGTCAGATTCAAGCTGCGAAAATCTAAAATAAAAATGTTAGAATAAATAATATTCATAATTCACCGTACGATTTGTTTGTCTTATTTCAATGCCGATCATTTAAGAATGAAAGTGGGAGGACATTATAATTCCCATAGACATTATCTTGTCTCACTATTGAGTTGCTATTGAGATGTAGATCTTTTTTAAACGTTTATTTCAACAGTAACATGACTACTCGACACATGATAAGGTTATATTCCTCTATAAATAGACACGCTTATTCAAAAATTTGTAGGAAATTATCAGAAATCCATCGACACTGCTGTTACGCGGTAAACAGGATACAAAAATATGCCATATTCCGCAACGATTCACTTGCGGTGTATGACAGATTCACCTGCGGTATATGGCATACACACCAACCAATGAGAACGTGATACGGAAGTACGCAATTGTCAATTGCATCGATTGAAAGAACGCGTAAAAGTTTATAAATTATTATAATGATTACTGAATCAACAGTACAGTTTATCGAATATAGCAACGTATGCAGAAGTATCACTCACCAATCTCACGTAATAAACTTACCCAATCAATCCAGGATTCATATATTAGTACTCGACGCACTACCAATATTGGTAATCCAGCGTAGTTTTACATTTAGAGTCGATTCTCGCAACCAATCAAACCAAGTCTTTCTGTATCACGTTTTCACCTGCGGAATATGTCATATTCACCTGCTGTATATGGCATATTCCGCAAGTGAGTATGACATATTCTGCAGGTGAGTATCGGGTATTCACTGAAATCAATGTATCGCATATTCACTGCGGAATATCGCATACTCACCTGCGGAATATGCCATATACCGCAGGTGAGTATGGCATATTCACCCGTATCACAAATACCGCGCAACCATGAATGTATGCCATATTCCGCGTAGCAACTGCAACCTGTTTTAAAATGCGTAATTATAAATCCAGGCAGGTATATTGACAATGTCAGAGCTGTGAACAACATATGGATTATACCTCTTATTATGTATTTTACGTTTTGCGACAATCTGGCTTATTAATTAATTTGAACAAAGGTCAATGGAAAACGGTAAGGATTCATATATTCTGCAGAGCGCAACTGGGCGACGCCGTGACGTTTTACATCCTGGTCAGACAATTGCGACAACTTAAGATTCAACAGTTACCTCACCTTAAGTTTCGACACTTGGACCATCTTTAGGTTCATCTTAAGACCCAACAATTGCCTCACCTTAAGGTTCGACAGATGCGCGACCTTGTTAGGCTCACCTGAAGGGCCAATAGCTGTCACGCCTAATTGTCTAACGGTGCCCACCTTAAGGTCAAACAGATGCACTGCTAGACTCACCTTAAACATAGTTGTCTTAAAACAGGCCCACCAATTTTCGACTTTCATGGTTTTATATCAAAAGTTGTGTTGTCGGAGCAACTGAAATCTTATTAATCAATGGGCATACCTAAAACATTTTAAACTTTTTAGCATCTACTACTCGCGTAGAAGCCATGGACATCTATTTTTATAGATTGTATTTTTATAGTAGATAGAAATAAGCTTTAAATACCATGTTGGACATCTTTTGATCGTATACAGTTTTAACATAGCATTAGTACTCCAATGTTATTAAAAAAACTGAAATATAGTGTATATTTTGATGTGAAAAATATCAAAAGTTAGGCCATATCCGACATGTACCATACAGTTTGAAAGGCCCTGTCTACCATCTGTCATCCACTTAAAGGCTCTTTCTACAGTGTACCATGCAATTTTAAAGGCCCTGTCTATCACCTGAGTGATGGCATCACAAAATGCTATAAAATGTAATGTCGGATGGTGCTCTTATTAAGCCACTATTATGTACTATACTGTTTAATTGCACTATGTACCTACTGTAATTGGGTAACCGGACAACTCATCCCCTAGACAACTCATCCCTGGACAACTCATTCCCTAGACAACTCATCCCCTGGACAACTCATCCCCTAGACAACTCATCCCCTGGACAACTCATCCCCTAGACAACTCATCCCCTGGACAACCCATCCTTTGGCATGTTTGAGTAATTTAACGTAATATTATTAATTCACATATTATTCAAATGATTAACACGATCCTCTATTTAATACCTCACTTTTGTTATGTAAACAGAACTTCAAAAATGGTTAAGATCTGCACTTCTAACTCTTTCCATTTACATAACAATACTAAGGTATTAAAGCGGTGATTCTGTTGTCTTCTGACTGACAAGTGAACAAAGAGTGGAAATCTGAAAAATTGTTTAAAAACTATGATATACCATGGTACTACTATGGTATTGTCAAGGAGATTATCAACCAATTAATCTGTAATTTGTTTTGTAAATATTTACCTTTAATTTTACTTTTAATATACAATTTCAATATTATGTTAACATTGATTGAAGAAGCTGCTTTGATGTCATAAGCTCCTTTGATGTCATTATATGTGTGTTGTTCATAGTTCAAATATTCTTTAATGCAAAGATAATTTTTTCACAGCAGTCACAGATGAAGTTACTGAAGTTCATGTTTCAAAATTATGCAGAGAGAAAACTTTATTTTTTTGTCATGAAATATTAAGTCATGTAATATAAGGACAAAATATGAAAGTTTTAATGGCACCGTTTGACCATTTTATTTGTGTCAATAAAGTGAAAAATAATATTTAGAATGATTCAAGGTGTATTTAATAAATATTTATTTTCCCAAAAAACATTTGGCTTCATGTGATAAAGGATGAGTTGTCTAGGGGATGAGTTGTCTTGGGGATGAGTTGTCCAGGGGATGAGTTGTCTAGGGGATGAAATGTCCAGGGGATGAGTTGTCTAGGGGATGAGTTGTCCAGGGATGAGTTGTCTAGGGGATGAGTTGTCCGTAAGCCCTGTAATTGTAATGCTACTTACCTGAAATAAAAACTTTTAAGTCGTGACGAATACTATTTGGATGATGATGAAACAATACTTTCAAACTTTGCTGGAGACTTTACAGAGGGGGTCAGTATTTGAAACCGTCGTAACTTATGATTTTGTCGCAAGACATTGCTCCTCTGACAAAAGACAATAGTTTTTCCATAATTAGCACTGTTCCATAGCTGGATGACTCTAACTGCAGCTGTTAGCTTCATTCAAGATGGTTGCCGAAATTATGTTGTTTTCGATAAACCTCTGATTTCAGCTAAACTTAGTTGAATCTGAATTCCGAATGTTTCGCCACGCAAATTAGTAAAGCTTCGATGGTAAATATCCACAAATAAATGATCAAACAACTGCGATATTGGAGAAAGAAAATGGATTCCCTTAGATGACTCTTACTGAAGTTGATGATGACATAGACCATCAACTTCAGTTAAAGTCATTCTAAGTGAAGCCGTTTCCTTTAAAATTCTCTATTATTGCGGGTGTTTGAGCCTTCATTTGTGGTTGAATACAATCGTAGTTTTATTAATATGCATGGCGAAACTTTTGGAATCAAGATTCAACTTCGTTTAGCTGAAATCGGAGGTTTATCGAAAACAAAAGAATCTTGACAACCATCTTGAAGGAAGCTAACTGCAGTTGGAGTCATCCTGCTGTGGAACAGTGATTAGAGGCCACACCT